AAAGAAACAGCAGATGCCACATTCAAAAAGAGGATTAAATATTATAATACAGGGCACTGGGTTGTAAAATGTGAGCTTTTTTCAAAGGTTAAGTAGCATCAACATCATATCGTCTTTGTATAGCAAGTTACTACAGATTAACAGGCGTATGCAGTAAAGTTGATGAGAATGTTTAACATTGTTAACATTCTTTAACAGATGAACAAACTCAGTGGCTTTTGGCATCACATTGACTTGACATCAACAGGTTTTTCGCACAAATAGAAGTGAAAAGCACATCAGATTCAGGAAGTCACGAGTAAATGTGCTGTCAGTTTTGCTTCCACTTCAGGTTAAAGTGCCCACTATCCCCACATGCTTCCTCTTGATAATCCTGTCATCCAGGATCAGCTTTAGTTGGTGTTGTGCAAACAAAGCCTGCGTGCATCAGACTCCCCTTCTTAGCTGTCAGTCACAGCCAGCCTTCTGCCAAGTAATGGGAACTAGGTTGGTGCGACCACAAGGGCGAGCCATCCAGATTGAGAGGAAATGCATCTCGCTCTTTACGGCCTCCGGAACGGTTACATACAAATTAGAATTTGAATTACAAAGTAAAAATTCAAATTTCCACGTTGAAATAGTTGATATTTTAGCTGTGTACATATTTAAAGCAAAAAGTTACGTTTCCTGCATTATATAATTTAGGAAAAGGCTGATAGGTTTACATTTTAGATTGACTAAGTGGGCTGTAGCATCTCTTTTAATGCTACTACTGTAGCATCCGCTTGCTGCTCATTAGGGCCATTCTTTACACCACTTTTTCTTAGTTAAACATAAACTGGGGAATTAATGACCTATATTCTAGAATCTATAATCCCTTGTCAGTGGTTCAAGTTGAAGCAGTCAACACTGTGACCCTGCAGAACATTGCTTCTTTAGTTTGACTGTTGAAAGTATTTGTTTGTTTGTAGCTGGAGGCAAATCCCTCATCAACTAGGTCAGACAGTGCTTCTCAGATTCTTATCATTTCAACATTACAAAAAGTACTCGTGTTTATGGATACACAAGCTTTGAACTCCATCTTCAAACTTGAAGAGTTAATATCAACATGGAGAAATCCATATTTAATCCAACTGTATTGTAATTCTCTTCTTTAAAGTTTTTTACAAACTGATTCAAGGTCCAAGTATTGGTTACACTGACACAAGCTCTCAGGTTTTAATGTTGCAAAACCTGTTTGACAATTCCTGTGTTTGTGTCTACACAGTGTCCTCCTTCTCTCGTCTAAGATTGTTTTTCCTGGGTTTTGTTGCTAAGCTAACTTAACATCTCTGTGCAATCATTAACAGAGTGTTCTTTTTTTCCACTCCTTTTTATGATGCTAGATTCAGAAAAATAAGGTGCCTGGTGGGAAATCCCATACCTCAACATCTAGCAGTCATAATTACTACTTAGATCTAGGTGTTTCCAACCCCTCAAACTTGTATATACAAACAAGTGGTCTTTATCTTCCTGCAGAAGCAACAAGCATCTGATTTAGATTGTTTTGATAGTGGTAGGGGTAAAAATGATACATTTTTAACAGATGAAGCATGTCTGGACTGGTATAAACCTCGCATTTTTTTTTTTTTTACGAGGGGGGGGTTTCTTTTTTTTCTTTTTAAACGGTGGATATTTTTTCTTCAAGAAACAAGTTCTAACAGTGCGTTCTCACTGGGTCATACCAAAAGGCTCTCTTAGCAATCACCTTGTGATTCACCTGTTAAAATATCTGTATAAGTGTTTAGGTAGCATTAGATTAGTTTGGTTGAATGCTTACAAATATGTGGTGGGAATCTTACTTCGGACCTCCGACAGCCTAGCTTAAATTTGCTTTTAGTTTTGAGTTATGTGTGTGATGGGCATTTGCAAGCATCTTTCAAGAAAGCTTCCCACCTTTGCTTCCCACCTTTTGTCGCGTGTCAGACCACCGTTGATGGTGGTTTTTTGTTTTTTTCATTTTTGCTCTTTGCTAGGGAAGTGTTTCATTTTGAAGGAATTGCTGGAATTTTGTTGTCATGTCTTGACATGTCCTTTAGTGCATATCTTAGTGTCTTTCTCATCTTCTTTCATCTCTCCCCTTAACTGTCACATCCTTCTTTTCTTATATTACCTCAAGCTTTCTTCAGTTAGTTTTGTTGTTACACCCATATACACCAACTGAACCTATGGGCAATTGTGTTAGGTTTTGCTGTTTATTTATTCTTTATTTGTTTAAGTGAATATATTTCTAGAGTGTGAAGGAAATCAGTGCTAGATTAGAAGGACTTTTATAAAACTGATAAGAGAAGGGATTCATTAGAGTATTTACATGATGATGCTGTGGCGATCCCACAATATAGGTGTTTTAGGGAAAGCTTAAAGTGTCGGGTTATGATGCTTGTTTTCGCCAGGCAAGCATCAACAGGAATGCGCTTAGATGATTCCGATTTTGTCAATTAAACTTTATTATTCGTATTTCTATAATGTTAACCAATAAAGAAACATGAATTTAAATTTCCTAGTAAAGAATTACACAAACAAAAATAGCTTTGAATTGACTCAAATGAACTTATGATAGCCAGGCTTTCGGTGCACTAGCAAGCAATTAGCATACTACTTCCACAATGTCTGACACTCATCTGAAAAATATTCCAGTAGGGAAAACCGTTGTGTTCTCAACCTAACCTGCAAACAGTCCGGCCTGTGATTGGCTGCTGTGACTGTCAATCAAAAGTGAAACCCCAATAACTCAAGTCCTTCGTGACAACAGGAGTAGCCAAAAGGGCACATCTGTTGATTGGGCTTTTTTGATGAGTCCGACCGTATTCACCGGTCTGTTATTTATTATTTGGCCTTTTCAGAAAAACAGAATATAGCTTAAATGTCTGGGGTTTTACTCAAAGCACAGTTTGTAAAGTATAATTTTTTTTTACTACAGCTGTTGATGATTTGCAGTTCAAGTAACCCATAGAATCGAATATAAATATATTTATAAACCTCAGTAGGGACATTTAGATGTGTAACTATATCATCCCTTAGTTCAACGTTTATATTCTCTCTGCCCAGTTTTTTACCTAAAGTGACGACATGTTTTAACAGGAATGTCTTTCATTCCTTCGCTTCCTTTGAACCCTGTTGTTCTGCCCGTTACGGCTTTTATCAGCAGCTGGAATAATGGATCACAGTTTCAGTGATAAGGTACAGTGATTCAGCTAAGCGGTATTTCCAGATCCGGATGTTTATCTTTAAATTTGACCCTCCCTGGCTTCCTCACTGCACCTGGTTGGTTTCATGAATGGCAAATGAAAAAAGAATGTTGGCTATGTTGGGTGGTAGAATGAGTTAAACAGGTGAAGATTGAATAAAGTGCAAATTTTATCGATAAACTCACTTTACATCTTGTTTCCTATGAAGATGTTTTTTGTCTAAGTGTTTGTGACTTTGCCTGCAGAAAAGGTGAAAACACTGTTCGACTTCTGCTGTTCAATTTCTAATCTTCAATGCAGTTATTATAAAAACATTCTTATACGTTGCTGTAACTGGTTTTATGGGGTATCCGACTGTAACAGCTCAAGGTTTGGAGCAAAGTGGTTTGGATTTTCCTTAGTTAACCTTGAACATATTGTAACCTCAGTTTTCCCTCCTGCTGTTCATCAGATTTTTATCAATGACATTTGGGAAAGATAATACTGGCACAGTAGCAATTTTTTTTGCTTGTGGTGAATAAGGCTTCGTAAGAAAAAAATGTAACTCCTCAAGTGATATGTGAAACAAGTTCAGCAACTTTTTTGTTACCATCAGATAAAAATATTTTGGTTTGGGGTTTTTCAGTCTTAAGTACTTTTTAATGCTTTGAGAGGTTAGAAAATGGAGGAAATTCTAAGTATAATGGACTAAAACTACCAGAAGGATCAGATATTAAAGAAAAAGTAAACTTTAAAACATGACAAAAGGTTTTAATCCTCTTGTCTAGAATTCAAATTTAATAGAAAAAAAATATGTTTAACTGTGTTACTGATTATCGGCCAAACAATAGTTATTTATTGTACCAACGTTCCTGTTCAGCTGCAACACATTTTTTACTGGAGCAATTTCTCTGGCATTTTTCCATTTTCCCCGAAAAAAGCACCACCTTTGGTTTTGTTGCTTTGGTGAAAGGCTGTTACTAAATCCAATAGTTTGTTTCGTTCTGAAAGCAGAGTGAGTCACAGCTGATCAGGCAGACTGATACAGCAGCTTTGATACACATGCTGTTTTCCAAAACAACCTTTCTTCCGCTTAAAAAAATTAGACAAATGTGACCACAGCTTAATATCAGCTATTGCAGCATCAAACTTTAATGTTCACCTTGCTCTAGCTAGATGATAGCTTTATACCACCTAATTATTCAAAGCGCTTTTTACAAACAATGAAAATATATACTAGAAATTTTTGTTATTGCTTCAAAAATTCTTTACATTTTATGCTAAATAGTCAATGGGTTGTTTTATAAGAATGTTAGAAATATTTCAGTCACTTTTATGCTCAGTTTGTTGATAAATCTGCCTTTTCAATCTCCAGAGACATGCTTTTTTATGCAAATTACATTTTAAGTTTTTAAGAATGAATTTATGCTTTTTAACTTCTTCAGAATCTCATTTATTTGAGAATTTGAACAGCAAGAGTCTAAAAAGTTTTGAGTAAACAGTCTTCGCTCCAAGCTTGACAGCTCTGCGTTACAGATGATATAAATGGATCGAAAACGGCCTCTGAGAGTTGATCATAATCAGAATGTCTCAATGAGATAAAAGTAATCCCAATGGTGTGTCAAGGCAGTGATGATGTAATTCTTTATTTGTTGTTTTTTTTATGTTCTTGATTTTCAACTGAATGAAAATTCTTAGCATTATGTGTGATCCATCTGAAAATATCTGAAGTAAAAAGCTTATCATTGTCACTAAGTGCTCAGTTTGCAAACAGCATCTTTCAAGGCTAACCACTGTTTCTGTTTCTTTTTTCAGGATGTCGTCACCATACTAAAAAGATCCCCCTGTTGGTAAGTCACTCTGATTACTGTTTGTCATGCAGTGATGTTGTCAGAGGCATTTTCTTTATGATAGATTTGGTTAGCAACACTAGTTTTGAACTGATTTTACACACTATACTAACAAAAACACATTTTCTAAACTTGATCAACTGTGCTGTTTTTATGGTGATCATTTTATAATTTTGATTTTAGTGTATATTAATAATTTATGCATTATGGTTTGAACAGTCTGTTCTTTTGTCTTGCTTGCTCTGCGTTGATACAGTACAAATAGTGGTGCTGTTAACATATACTCCATTTATGCTTTTTCTAAAGTCAAATGATCCAGTGTATGACATCATTTATTCATTTAAATGTTTTATGCAATAGAGTTTCACAAAAATATTCCTCTAGGAAAAAATATCACTTAATCCCTCTTAAATTTGAAAAACTACAGAAAATCATTTAATATTTATTCCAATTGTGAGGTCATGCACAACACTGTCCCCGTTTACTTTCTAAAGTTGGATAAATGTAGATAGGTTCATAAATTTTTAAGTCAGACCAGTTTTCTCTCACCACATTTGCCACTAATGTTGCCATCTTTATCTCTGTGTTATCTGGTTTCCATGATGTCAGTGAGAAACAATATGGTTTTTACAGAAGCTGTCTCCACTTTGCATCTGCAGCCTCAACTGTGGCTGCTTGCGTTAGCAGGGTCATACCCTTAGAGGCTTTGAAACAAGAGCATGTCTGAGCCTTGCAGCTTTCCTTTTAAAGCTTCTGCTTACGGCATCTATGCTGCTGAAAGCATTATGATCTACCAAGGCAAGACCACAGATATGCTTGTAGCCAAACCAGCCAGCGACTGCCAGCTTCTTACGAGAAATTAAAAAAAAAAACTCCCCAAAAATATATCTGGGGCTTGTATCTTAAAACAAAATCTCTCTAATCCTCTGAATGTTTATTAGTATTTTTTAGATCAAATTTTGATCAATCTTTGTAAAAACTTTTAGCAGATTATTAATTGAATCTTCAAAAAAGCCATTAAGACCTTATGGCCTTATAAGCTCTTCGAACTGCCACACCTGGCCTGGCCTAAACACTTCTTGACATGTACGATTATGACACTTCACATATGTACCATCAAGAACATTCCGATGAAACTAAAGGGATTTAGCTCTGAAAATTGGAAACTGATGCCATATTGACTTAAATGCACGTTGAAAGCTAGTAGCTTTGGAGCACAGTTGACAAAAAGACTGAATCATTTACATCAGACTAGTTTACCTGTGTCCTGTTTACCTCACAATAACCTCACTGCATTTTTTTAACTGTTTGTTTTCTTAATGTTGTGTCTGGTGATACTAGAGGCCATAGGTTTGGTTTGGAGCACATTCCTAAGCCAGACGTTTTCTCTGAGAGCGTTCAAAAAATGGTTGGTACGGATCACTGAACGTACCGAGAACCATTCTTTAGCTTTAGGCAGAGGAGGTGTATGAGAAGCAGCAATAGTCAAGACTTTTAAGAGAATTCTTCAAATACCTTTGGTGCACTAATGTGTACGTTTTATGAGCCTGACTGAATTAAAAGATTATATGTTAAATCGAGTCTGGATGCTTCCTGTAGATGTTCCTTATCGCTGTTCACAGCTGTTAGCAGGAGACAGGTGCTAATACAGTCTTTCTTTCACAGTTACCTGCATTTTAAACAGTAAAAACAGTAATAGTTCCAGAAATAACAGTTTGGACAGCAGTAAACATGATTAAAGGCTTATTTCTTACACGGTTAGTGAGGGACTTTCATCATTTAAATAAAGATGATGATTAGGGATTGCTAAACTTAGTAGTTCTTTCCTCTCTTTTTATGGTTCTGAGAATGTATAACAATATTTTGGCTTTAAATCTCCCAATACATATATTTATGCTTCTCAAATAAATAATTTTCATTATGAAATGGCCTACTTTAGGCTAAGTTTGAGAACTGATATCCTGCAGCTTTTGAAAGCATCACTTCTTTAACACATCAGAATCCTTTAATTGGCTTGTTAAGAGAGATCTGAGCTGATGATGAGGAAGAGATCAGCTATTTGACGCAGGTGATGCATCTGAAACCTGCTGGATAGTAGCTCTCCAGGGCTGGACTTGGGCAGTCCACTTCATTTCCCTAGTTATAAAACAGATCCAACTTCCTGATGTGAAAGTGATAAAGTACAGTTAAGCCTCTTACGATGGTCACTCTGATAGTTTCCTAATGGGATTTATGTTTTGAATAGATTCCAGTTATATCATCTCATTGTAAAGCTGCAAAGAGTTAAACAACAGATCTCTGCTTTTCTAACGCCTATTCCTCTGCTTTGTGTTTTTTTTTTTAGGCCTAAAATGTCAACTTTTTTTCCCATGATCCCCTTGTGCAATGCAGAGAAGTGCCTGGGTGGATCCAGCTGGCTTCCTGTGAACAACTCGTCTAACCAGCTCCTACATTAGGCCTCTCTCTCTGTCTCTCTCTCTCTCTGATGGACAAGGATTATGGAAATGTGGTTTTAATGGAACACTAGATCTTTTTAACATTTGGATTTTTTTTTCTTACGTTTATCTATAGTATTTCCTTCATTAACTTGCATCTCTTCCTTGGATCAGTTTTATCTTCATCCGCCTTTACTCCAACATCTTAGAATAATCTAATCTCTCTGACTTTCTCCTTTTGCGAAACAGACATTTCTGCTGTGGACATGTTTCCTTGACTAAAAAAAAGCTCACAGACAACGTCTTATCCTACTGAACACCTAAGAAGAACACACACAGGCATATATTGTTATACCCAAATAAAATGTGATGCATACATGCATGGGTGATCACCACCGTTGAGGCCCCCCAGGCAAAAGTCTGGATGTTCTGGTTCAAATAAGTAGCTAAAAAAACAGTTCCGCTTTATCTCATTGCCTGTTCCAGGTGGGTGGAGTCACCCAGATAAGACACTTCAAGCGTAGTGGAGGGTTTTAAAGTTGAAGATCTTTCTCTGAGCTCAAAGAGTTTTGATCCGTAATACCTCAGTTTGTTTGGCGTTCACCGACGCATGAGAAGTTTTCTGCCACACCTGCTGAGTCAACTTTTTATTTATTTATACTATGCTAAGATCAGTAGTAAACGGTCAGCATCTCCGACATAACCCAGCAGCTTTGCTACGCAGAACATTTAAAAAAAAAAAGAAGACACTTATCGAAACTGCCCCTTTATAGTAGCAATGCAACACAATCCTTTAAGATAATATTGGCTTTTTACTTAGTCTTTTAAATCAATCACATCATTCAGTAAATGCCTATATTGTACATATATGGGGGCATCATCCATGTATTGATTTTGAAAAGTTAAATCTTATTTCCAATCATACACTTTTCCCTCAAACAAGCGGTACTCTGATCTCAGCTGGCTCCCTCGCTGCTATCCATGCTTTACCTTTACATGCTGTTCTCTGCAGCTCAGAAAAACTCCCATGTTTGACTCATCCTGTCCTCTTAGAACCCAGAGAGGAGGAGGGAAGGGTTAAAGAAGGCAGAGACAGGACTCAGCACGCAGGACCACTTCAGTCAGGTTAAAAGGAAAGCAGGAAGACAAAATGAGCGGGAAGCTGTTTTAGAACTTTGAAATTCTTCAAGGGTTTAGAGGGAATGTTTGATGAGCTGTTAGTGTGCGCCTCCTTTTTTCCTAACCACAACTGAAAAGGTGTTTAAAGCAAATGATAGCTACGATAGTTTAATCATGAAACTAAGCTCAAAAAGGCTTCTATAATTTTTGCGCTGCATTTTTTTTTTTTTTTTATACTCATGTTTCTGTGGCGACATGTTATCAAAGGTTTCAACCTGCACTGATCTCCAGCAAGAAATGTATTTATTTGGTTAAGTTTAAGAAGAAAACGAAAAGAGTTAGACCACATCCTTTTAGCAGATCTTGGATGTAAAAACTGATTATTTTTTGTGTGTTATTTATCAGTTTGAGCTCTACGTGAAAACGTCTATGATATATATGACAGTTTTCCCCTTCACCAATTCATACCCTTGTTTTGTACCCCACCTCCGCATTTTTTTTTTTCAAATTAGTTTTATCAATTCTGCATTAGGGTATTTATTTTGGTAGTTTAGTAAATTATTTGAATTGGGCAATAAATATTATGTGTACCATGAAAAACCTAAAAATATTGTGGACCCACTAAGAGGCAAAAGTGGGACCCCCCGATAGTTTTGTGCCCTAAGCTCTCTAGTTTGTTTTACTACTTTTATTTACCATAGATTATTGCTTAATATTGCATATCACCCTCAGGATTTTTGGGTTTAGCAGCAATATTTTTTTTTCTAAAACAATAGTTGTACATTATTGGTTCTAAACATAGCATTCTTACTAAAAATATCCTTCATCCATATAAAATATATTCTATTTCTTTATGCAGGAATGCACAAAATAAACGGCCCTAAAGGAAAGAAGGAGGGTGTTTAACACTTGCTGTTTTGATGTCTGGTGTGGAATGAAGGGTTTAAGGCTCGGCCAGGGCAGTGACATTACCAAACAGCTGTCTATTGATTATATATCACACAAAAAAATGAAAATAGGTCACTGTGACACATAAATTTTCCTTAGTCTTTAAATTATCCATTCTTAACAGAACTGTTTTTGTTGCTTGAGTTTTCAAAGTACAAAACCTCACAAGGACAGGGAGGGATTGATGTGTGGGGGGGTACAAAACATCCTGTGGCAGAATGCTCCTTTTCATATCTGAAAGTTGGCGTATGGGTGCTATGAGTTTAAGGAGTGAGATAACATCACCCTTTCAAACTGAGTATTCACAAGTTTAAAACATATTTATATGTTTATTTTATGGTATAATAAAGCAGAGAAGGTATTAATTAGAACATGTACATATGAAATTTGTTGCCCTAAACTAAACATGTCCATATGTTTTAAACTGCATGGAAACTGCCCTTGTTGTATATAAGATGTTGTATTGACTGTATACAGATTTTGTCACTGTTTTTTTTCTGGTTTATATATATGGGGTTTGAATTTCTTGTTATGCTTAATTTTTTTCAGATATGTTTTGTTTATGTTTACAGAAGTGGTTTTGTTATCTTTAAAAATTTTTGTGCATACTGATTAGTTAAAATAAATGTAACAGGTCAAAATCATGTCTCTTTTAAAATGCATAAAGGTTTTTGAAATATTTTCATAAACTTTCATTTGTTTCAGTTTTTTTATTTATGCTGTTGGGGTGAAAATTATAAGGTTTTGTTTTTTTGAATTGTGTAAAACGGGGAAACAACCAATTAGACCAAATGTGTGTTTTCAAGCTATCCAATCACAGTGTTTTCCTGTATGAGTGTGACTCTGATCTACTGCTGAAGGAGCCGTCTGTTCTCATCTGCCACGCCCTAAGACATATTTTAACACACTCGTACTTAGAAAGAGACAAGCCTAGAATCTGTTAGAACAAGTAGTCTTGTTTAAATTTTTACAAAAACCTTATATTACGAAAGTGTTTATTTGGAATTACATGCTCAAATTTTCTTACTGAGCACAGTTTATAAATATGGCTGCACTGACCTAAACTACACAGTTGTTCAGGTGTTTTGTGTTATTTCTATTTTTGTTAAAAACAGAAACCTGGTTTCCTATTAGTTTTTAACAAAAATCCCATAAACACACATTATTATTTTCATATGTCCTTAAGTGTGTAATGAATCTATATAGCCTCAAAAATTAGGTTAATTTGCTATCTACAAAAAACAATCTCTTTGGGATGCAACAGCAGGACGTTTTCATTTGTGTATTCACTGTATCTTAAAGAGTCCATACAGTGTTTTTGTAAAATTATAGATGGCCCTCCCCTCCGCAATTAAAATAGATGAGTAACAGGTCTATTCTAGTTAATACCAAGGACAGGATCATTTTCCATAAAACACAGCATGAAGGGGCAGCAGTGTGTAAGTATGCATTGTGAACAAACTGCTGTTGAACATTCTGCTTTGCTAAACTCTTCTAATTTTTTTTTATAAAAAAATGTCTTCTATGACAAAATATAACATTGTTGTTAAAGTAGCTTGCTTCTTATCTCTGTTAAATTGACATAATGTTGAGTTGTTTCAAAGCTAAAATGAATCTAAGACCGCAGCAAGGATTCTGCGGGTGTTTACAGATAACACTCAAGAACATTCAGAAATCTAATAGACGGAATTAAACGGATGTTTGATGAAATGAGGGTCCTTCTGGATGGCACATGTCAGAATGTCTAGAAGAAGTTAAATGTGAGATCTATGCCTTTGAATTTTGTCCAGGAAACCTAAAATCTGAGCAATGAAGTTTTGAATGTATGTTATCACTGGCTACTTTTAAGTCAACCTTGAAGATAACATGCTTGACCTGTTCCTGGATTTAGATGTGTCTGAATTAAAGAGAATGCCACATACATTGCAGTTGTTGCAGATTTGCCTTCTCTTGCACCACACCCCAAAGCTGCTCTGTTTGATTTAGGTTTAGCAACTGGGGAGAGTATCAGAGTACAGTGAAATCACTGGCATGTTATTAATAACAATTTACTTTAGAGTATAGGTACACTGTGGTCACAAGATAATGAGTACCAGTACTTAGGAAGGCTTTGGTACCTAAAAGGCATTAAAGCAGGCCAAGAAAATATCAATCATCCTGTTACACTACTCATAGCTACCTCAACCATTGATACCTGAAAAGAAGGATCCGTGCTTTTGTGTACTTTAAAGTCGTGGGGAAATCATATTTAAATGTCAAATCATTCGGACTTAAACATGTATATATATGTACTCTTTATCAGATGATATTGTCCCAAAATTTAGAAAATTTCTATTAAAAAAAAAAATTCCTGTCATAAAATCTGTTTTTTGTTATCTTATACAGGCCAGTTAGTTATACGTCAGCTTGTACACCTAAATTCAGCCAATCATATATCAACAATCATCTGTCAATCAAATTTTTTCAGTCATAGCACCTTGATTCATATGTTGCAGCTAATATACACAACAATTGGAATAAGAAATAAGAATAATTAACTTTAACATTGAGTTACTTCCCAGTGTTCACGGAGATGGACGTCTGTGTCTTCGGCAGGCGTAGAGCTAACAGAACTGGCAGCGTTGCGAGGCAAGGGCTCAAACATGTATGGCTGTAAGCCTTCTAAACCAAACTAAGCCTCTGCTGCCCTGGCGTCCTCTTCCACATCTTTGTCCCCGCTTTCCTCCTCTAAATAAAAATGTATGAAGGAGGAGACTCATCCAAGACCTCCGACACAAAACTCTCCTCCTCTTGCATGTTTCCGCTGTCCATAGCGTTCCTTGACAGTGTCGTTTTTAAGTCATAAAATTGAATGCTACTTGGTCCTAATGTAATTTCCTATTGGGAACCGTCTAGCACTAAGTTGTTAACTGGTTAGCAAGATGCTTCCGAGACACCTGCCATAATCAAACTTACTCACAAACCTTCCGCCACAACAATCCCGCCCTCTTGATAAACGACCAATCACATTCACTTTATTCACTGGTGTAAATCCGTGCACCACTCGGGAGAATTCAGAAATGGTTGGAACAGACATTTCCAGACGACTTTAGGCTAAATGTTTGGCCGTATCATATAATGTTGCTGCTGAACCTGAGACTCACTGGACAAGGTATTCCTTGGTGGTCCTGTACAAACAGGAGCCATAATTAACAATAAACAGACTTAAATGGGAAGGTAACTGGACTTCTGCTCAATTTTTTAAAGACGTTCCAATGCCTATCCAGGTGTCTGTCACAGCAGATCCATCTCCAGTTGGAGCTCTGTGTCATGAACCGAGGACAGATGGACCCAGTATTCAAGGAGAGACAGTCAGTAGGAAAGTTCAAAAAGGTTTATTAAACAAAAACTAAAGTGGAGCTGTGGAACAGGCAGGATCCAGATCAGGCAGGAACAGAAACAGGTGGCAGGACCCAGACTTCCAGGCATCCACAGGCTCCCAGGAGAGTTCAGAGTCTGACTGGGACCAGAAGCATGACCAGGTGGTCACGCACAGGAGCAGAAAGGATCAGGTGCAGACAGGCAGGCTCAGTGGAAGAGGGTAGCCGAGACAGGACGTAGAACCGGAACTTGAAGCAGGACTTTAAACTGGTCTCCTCCCTGGAGCCAGGCTTACTGGATAAAA